TACCTACCTACCTATCTATCTATCTATCTATCTATCTATCTATCTATCTATCTATCTATCTATCTATCTATCTATCTATCTATTCATCTATCTATTTATCTACCTATCTATCTATCTATCTATCTATCTATCTATCTATCTATCTATCTATCTATCTATCTATCTATCTATCTATCTATCCATCTATCTATTTATCTACCTATTATATAAATATACAATGTCACCCCATGTAAAACATACGTCACTTATCTTCTTGCGATTATTTAACTGTAGAATGGATTTGACATGCGTTACATTGGCCCAACGCTCCTAAGGGAGCACAGATCAACTACGAATCTCCTGCAATCGCTTTCTTGTCAGTGTTCCGGACAACCATCTCCAATCTTTTCACCCAATGCTAGAGTTCATCCTGCGGGAGCGATCGTCTTCCATCGCTAATTGATTCGAGTGGCTACTGTCGTTGATATATCTCAGTAATCTTTAATGTGTGGTGAGATAGGTGGCATCATGCCTAACTCCAATTCTGAAGTGATGACCTGTGGTCTAGCCGCTACATATTCACCTGTCCAACTTAGTGGGATCTACAGAGAGCATATAAAGTCGCAGCCAGCATAGCTCCATGTATGATCGAAACTCTACAGCTTCCACACGCGGCGTCAAGTAAAAAACAAGTAGTAATTGAATATGAATTGCTCAACGTGATTACACTCGCTCTGATTCTTCTTTCTTTCTTTCTGCTATGCACGAGCAACGCACCGCCGAACAAACAGCCAAGAATAGACACCTCTCTTGTCCTTGGTAATGCAACCTAAACTCCATTAACAAAACAATTCTACGAAGACTTTAAGGCATTTAAAGTAATCGGCTAAATATTTTGTAGCACCGATTGATTAGTCTACAGGATCAAAACCACAACGGTGCAAGATAGTAGCCACGTGGCTCTTTCAGGTAAACTGTGTTTTTTCGACGTCGGGGGCGCGTGATTTTTGTCTTTTTACTTAACGTTAGGAGGTCGCATTGTTTTTGCATACTACATGGCGTTTGGGAGCGATTGATGCTTGTGTTTATGTTGTGAACAAAATTCAACATTGCAATTCTGCATGCTGTTTCACGATGAACCATGCGCACAGCGAACCATAATTTCCTCTGCGTCTAGCAGTAATGCATAACGATACTATTAATAACCGGCGTGGCTAACGTCAGATGAAGGGAAATCGTAAACCCGGATCGCAAATGAGGGCCGCGCGCCTGTCAGCGCGTGCTGAGCCATATATAACACTTTAACGGGCAGCCATTTGCGCGGGTATTGCGCGCGTTTAATTGCCGCGTTTTACCATCGACCACAGCTACATCGACCACAGCCGTCTGACGCGAGAGGGCGGTTAACGATACAGGCTTAAGCAAGACGCGCGGTCATATCGCCCGTGTAGGGTAGTTGTGAGATTCTTAGAAGTAGCTCCCGTAACTGGCCCGCAATAAGCGGCGGGAGCGCGCCCTCCCGGTGAGCGCCAGCAGACGACATTATACTGATGACGTCACCACGTCGGCTTCAGGCGCTGGCGCGTTGTGCGCGTGCGCCGGCAGCTGTGCGGCAATTTCCGCGGGGATCAATCTTTCGTCGCGGAAACGTCAGACAGGAGACACACCGAACGTGAGAAGACAACGACGAGGTGCTATCGAAGTTACAAGCGATTTCGTATACCCTCTCCTTGGACGGAGGAATACGTCCGGCTGATTCGTAATCTTAGCACGTGCGCTATTCGCACATCCCGCTATACTACCGATACCTTCCGATACACGCCAATCCGTGCAAGGCGGATGTATCCGATGGCAAAATTCGAGTCATGCCCATGACAGAGTCTGACATACGACTATGCCGAGAGCTCGCCCGATATCTCCTCGAATGGGTTTGGCGTATGCAAGGGCGGCCTGTTTCCATCTACAGTAGAGATGCATAGTACTCCCATGCACATAAGACTGCTGTTTACTTTGCATATTGCGGCAGTCACCCGTCACACATCCGTTGCTCCTGACGTATTCGTAGAAATGCGGATGGGGCGGCTGTAATGTTTAGGAAACGCTACGAGTAGACACACTGAGCGAGAAGATACAAGATGGCGGCCATGGTAATGAAAGAAATTATATAGATGAGAGGCGTTGAGATGCGAATTAAGCCAAATCACCCAATTAACATATTAATTGCAATTAACATGTGAGTGAACAGTTATGACTTCTGCGTAGGGTAACAATAACTCTGATAAGTAACTGTGATGCCGTGAGTTGAGGGTAAATCTTTCAAGCTCAAAAACACGTCGCCTCGAGTGAAGAATATCGTTGTAGGGGTGTTGAATTCGATAGGATTACATTGGAAAAGTTACTGCTACTATTATGTAATTGAATGCGGTTAACACAGAATCCTGCATAAGTAGATCTGAGCTCCGCATCGCTAGCCATACTCAAGAACACAAACCTACGCCCCCTCCCAAACACATATACGTACGCACGCAAGCACGCAATACGCTTATATATAGTAGATAATATATATATATAAATATATATATATATATATATTGTGTGTTGTGTGTGTGTGTGTGTGTGTGTGTGTGTGGTGTGGTTGTGTGGTGTGTGTGTGTGCAGTGCGCGTGCGTGTGTGTGTGTGTGTGTGTGTGTGTGTGTGTGTATGTGTTGTGTGGTGTGTGTGTGTGTGTGTGTGTGTGTGGTGTGTGTGGTGTGTGTCAGAGGCATGAGTAACACCCTTTCTAATCTGCAGTGTCTTCTACAACGAACTCTCCCAGTTCTCTCTCGTCTCAGTCTCTTTGACTCGCGTTTCTCTCCCCACATTTTCTGTTTAAGTCCTGTCTCAACTTTATCTCTCTTTTCCCCCTCTCTCTCTGCTCTCGTTCGCTCGTTGCTCTTTCACCTTCTCCAACCAATTCTCGATCGTAAACCATGTATTGCCTCGCTTTGCTCTGGCTCCGCTCTCTCGCCGTCGCCCGCCCGCGTTGCCCTGCTCTTTCCTCTTCGTTCATTTGCCGTGACTGCGCGGTGGTGCTGAAAAAATTCAATAAATTTTCTAACGTATTGCTGATGCTTACGTTTGCGATTAATCACGTCGACACAAGAAAGCATTTTGTCTCGGTGAATTCCGTAAGTTGTCGTGATTCCGTATATGAATGATCGGATGGCTGCCTGGCGTGCTGCAGTCGGTACTACGCCGACGACGACTCAGGCGACACTGAAGCGCAACAAACAGTCAACATCTCATCAGATCTCATGTAGGTGAAAATGTCTCTCTCCTTTTCTCCTCGCCCCTCACTTTCTTTTTCTTTTTTTCTTTCGTGTCTCTCTCTTTCTGTGTTTCTCTCTCTCTTTCTCTTGTGTGTGTGTGTGTGTGCTGTGTGTGTGTGTGTGATGTGTGTGTTGTGTGTGTGTGTGGTGTGTGTGTGTGGCGCGCGCGCGCGCATCGTAAGTCGTATATTGCCACACCCATACATTACAGCACATAAAGTTCTTGGTAAATAAATAAATAAATAAATAAATAAATAAATAAATAAATAAATAAATATATATATTTATTACGTATGATGCATTACAGTTGTACGTGGCGATGCGTGTATTTATCTGTATAGTTGTCCGATGTTTTGTCGCAGTGACGCCGGCCGTGTGGCTGCGTGAGTCGGATGAATGAACGATGCGTGCGACGACCAGTCTGACGCGAAATGAATTGAAAACGCAATGAAAAAGCAGCGCGTCGATTTTTCAGCTTCCTCGCACACTCCGCGCGCGCGTGCCACTAAAGTCGACGTAAGAATGACGATGTGAGTAGGGCGGCGCACAAGCACCGTCATCGTCTTCACTCGCGAAAACAAAACTTGCGACTCATCGTGCCGTTGTTTGATGTTGCAGTGCACGTTCACCCCGTGGGATCCACTCGAGACGACGGCATTCAAGGATAGGTTCAAAAAGAAAGGCTACGAGTTCCAGTGCTTCTACGACCCGAAGGCATCGTCGAAGTCATCCGGAGCAAAGTCTATTAAGAAGTGCTCGTCGTGACGCCTCTTGTGGCCATCGTGCGCAGCCATCGTTTGTCTGGCGCCATATTGCTCTTTATGCGGAAGCGAAATGTGAGATGATCATGTCGTGTGCTTCGTCGGACGATGTTGCCGACAGGAATCTTGACAACTAGGTCTATAGCAATGTATATATATATATATGTATATATATATACATATATATATATATATATATAATATATATATATTATATATATATATATATATATATAATTAATACACGGGCCTACCAGTTAAAATGTGTACCATGATTCTCACACACACATACAATGTGTGTAATAAATTTAACACAAAAATTTTGCTTTCGTAGTAGCGCCATAACCAACATTATAGTTCCTGTTAGATTCCACACAACAGCCATTGCTGGTGTATGTTCGTACCTAACGCTACCTATGTGGTAGACTTGTCAGCTGGAATCCACCACATTACCGGTGTTATCGATGCATCTATGTGACGTTGTCATATGTGAGCGGATTTATATAAACAACAATAAATGTTAAACAACATATTATATAGTAACCATCGGAATATATATATATATATATATATATATATGTTTATATATACATACATTTATGTACTTATGTTAATTACTACATACTGCACATTTCGAACTCGTCGCCTTTAATTAAAACGCATGGTTGACATGTCAACAAAACAATGAGTGATGATGCGTTACAGCTCGCATGTTGTACGAGTTGCCGTCAGTAGCTCCATGCTTCAATAAAGCCACACAGCGTGATAGCATGCAGTAGAAATAGCAAGACAGAACGGTAGGCCTATCGGTTTCCGCGAGTCCGACAGGAGTGCATGCGCTGGCGTCGCCCTGCTGTGTATGTGGCGTATAACGCAGCTGAAACATTACAGTTGTTTTGCGTCTTAATGCGTGTTATCTTTATTATGCACTTATCCCGTGCAAGCGTGGAATGCGAACGCGGCGTAAAGCCGATCCTCGCGCACGCTTTCAACTCATTCTAATTATATAATCCATGAGATGGGAAACGCGCTGAGTGCCAGACGGGAAGTTGTTTAGCGGATGTTCGCGGGGAGACCGCTGATGTTTGTAAGTGATATTGCAAGGACAAAGAGAATTTAATGACTGATTCACTAAATAAACATGTGCATAGTCGGGTTAACCGCGTATTATCGGCTGGCAATTACCGACTCATGCTATTAAAGCAGACGATGTCGTGATCACTACATTGTTCTGTCATGCGTCACGACGTATCTATCTCCACAGTGAGGCGACGTCGGACCACAATCTCACCACAGAGATGAAGATTGCTCTCTTGTTTGTTGTGGCGGCGCAATTTAATCGAAAGCCAATATATTCACGTGATCTCTCTGGTGATAATAATGCGACAACTCGACCATCTCGCCGACCTTTGGTAGAAGTTTTCTCCGACCTCTATAGTTTCATACAGTTCCTGCTTCGGCTGCAGTTTTCCTGGGTTATTTCCCGTGTTACCAAGCGGAAATAGGGAGCGTATTATTAGCTCCTGATATAACCAAGAGTTAATAAAAACAAGCTGATATAACGTGTATGCGGGATATTCATTGCTAAGCGCGCGTGCCTACCACAGCGCAAGCGCTACCCGAGACCGGCTAGCCGTGAGTCACGAGCAAACACACTTTGGTTAGTTGGTCGTAATAGAAATATCGTAGCGGTTTCTCCTCGCGAGTTCGGCTTAAATTCCGAGTGTTATACGAAGATAAGCGAGTTGCGACAAAATGGCTCGTTTTCAAGGGCATGGCATCGTTATGCCAGTAAACAACAAAGGTTAGTCAAATGACAATAATTCGCAGAGATTTCCCTAAGATGATCAAAGACGCAAAAGGTTTTTAAAAGAGACGTTAAATAGTTCGATTATGTTATTTAATTATTTGTTTTATGTGCGCCACTTTTAATGATCAATCGTATAAGACGCTATGAGAATGGTTATTGTCAAGGGTATTCATTGATATGATCATTAATTATTATAATTTATGATCATTAATGCGCCTTCGGCATCATGATATACGCGATATGATGACTATCTATTATACGTTTGTGACCCTAGAGCGGCTCATAGGGTCTATGTCCCCCAGGGTACTAGATGGAATTCCAAATTGTTAGCAGAAAATTATTTTTAAGGGCACTTTGAAATTAAAAGGGGGTCCGAACTCTTCGGACACCCCCCTAGATCCGCCAAATATTAGTTATATGATAGTTATAACTATTTATGAATAGTTCATAATAGTTACGTGACTATATATATAGATCGCGCTAAATTGGAATCGGAAGGTACTCTGGGTATAGTTCGATATATCGGAACGTACCCTGGTAACTATCTGATATGGTTAGGGTTAGGGTTAGGGTTAGTGTTAGGGTTAGGGAATAGGCGGAGGCGACTCCCCAGACTCGTTAGTGGAGTAGGCGAGGTACGGTCCGGCATATTAGATAGTACCAGGGTACGTTCCGATATAATATCGAACCGTACCCAGAGTACCCTCCAATAGTACCCTGGGAGACATAGCCCCTATCCGCCCTAGAGCGTGGCGCTTATATATATAGTATATATTTATGTACGAGGTGATACCGCGCACGATGGTGATACAACGACGGTGCATGTTCCTGTTCAGTATGATCCCGCCTCACCCTGTACAGAAGCCAGTGCATCGGCCGTATCGAAATATATGTCACATCGCAGAAATAGCGCATTTCGTGATAGCCTAGTGTAAATATCGTATATATCGGTTATATCGTATCGATGTAACGAGCTGTGTCGAGTCTGCTGCTACTCGCGCGGCCGCGTGCGTTAATACCAGAGCATATATATATATATATATAGTATTGCCAGAAGTAAAAACGGCTTGTTTAACCAGTGCAATATTTGCCATCGCGTGTCGAGTTATAAATACCCTAAATGTTGAACTCAATAATGTAGAGGAAGGTACCCGAATTAAATCCTTTCATTGCTTTCAGAACAAAATCGGTATATACATGCACGCGTATATCGCACGTGCTTAAATCAATTTTAAGGCATGCGATGCAATTTGTTTTATGAACTTTTATTATGGAGCCAATTAGTCCCCTTTCCGACCAGTCTTATTTCCCTGTCGCACATCTTTTTTGCCACGCTCAATATATTGTGACTGTCGGTACACGGTTACTGTTAATCTAAACTACACAGCAATTATCAAAGAACTGAAAACTGCGCCGGGAGGGTTTCCAGTCGTTTGTGTGTAAGCGGTCCCATCACGACACTGCATGACTGTCGCGCGCAGGCTCGTGTACAGCCCGCGTCCGTCCGTCCGTCCGTCCGTCCGTCTGTCCGTCCGTCGCCTGTTATCGCACACTGCAGCATTTCGTTGGCAAGTCACGCTTGCTTTTGCGGTCTCTCTCTCTCTCTCTCTGTATTTATCTATCACTCCCGCTCCCACTCACCTTCTCTTTCTTATGCACGCCGTCTGTCGGTCCGTCTGCCCGTCTGTCCGTCCGTTCGCCCGTCCGTCGGTCTGTCTGTCCGTCTGTCCATCCGTCCGTCCGTCTGTCTGTCCGTCTGTCTGTCTGTCCGTCTGTCTGTCTGTCCGTCTGTCCATCCGTCCGTCCGTCTGTCTGTCCGTCTGTCTGTCTGTCTGTCCGTCTGTCTGTCTGTCCGTCTGTCTGTCTGTGTGTCTGTCTGTCTCACTCATTCTCGCGCATCTCGACCATCGAATCGCATCATTCGAGTATGACTGCCGTTTAACCTTTTCAATCGGCGCTTAATGTGTGCCGACGGAGGGTCGTTACTAACGTTTCGTCCGCTCATCAAACGTGTCGGCATCTCACGTCGCCTTACGCCTCAATCAATAGCTTATTCAATTAGCCAGCCGCTGACAGTGCATGTGTCTCAGACGCGCGTTCGCCATCTTGCGACGCGCGATGTCGTTAGCGCTTTAATTGTCATCCAGCTCCTATGACTCGATCAACGTTGATCAACGTTGAAATGACGTCGAAGCGGGCAGATTCGTGGTAGCGGCGGTTTAGGTAATGCGTCTCTAGAGGCGACGCGACATCGACGCGTTTTTCAAAGACGCGTGAGGAGGAAATGCGAGCGATGAACAGCGCGGTCGGCAAGCGGGAAACAGCTGCTACGTGTGCGACTTGCGTTATTTGTTGTAGCTTGAGGCGTAGTGAGTGAACGCAAGAGCAAAGGGGAAGAGCGCGCGCGAGAGAGAAAGAAAGAGAGAGAGAGAGAGAGAGAGAGAGAGAGAGAGAGAGATAGAGAGAGAGATAACAAGGGAGTTAACGTGGGAAGCGAAGACGTTGAAGGGAGAGGAAGAGTGAAGGATGGGAAAGAAAGAAAGCACACACACACATACACACACACTCACACACACACACACACACACACACACACACACACACACACACACACACACA